TATAACTAGATATGAAAATAGATTTTAAGATAATCCTAAGAAGTTTTTACACCAAAATTACATGTATGACAAAATTTGGAGGCGCGCCTTAATTGGATTGTTTAAGGTTTAAAAATATATGATTTTATTAATATATTTTTAGTTATAATATATATGAGTAATGATACTATGAGCCCCTCCCACACCTATGTATGTAGGACCCCAAATGATCACCATTAAATTTGGCATAGATCTTTAGAAAAGTTATCACATAGGTATGAGACTTGATTTTTCTAGAGATCCATTTGTTGGTGGTATAAGACCAATCGGCTAAAAATACAATCTTTTTTAAAAAAATCATTGTATAAAAACTCAAAGGTTTAAATGCATGAGTATCTCAATACAAAACCATAATACATATATTCCAGCCTACAAATATGGTTTATACACATTTGAATAATAAAATTTAACCCTAATATGCCCCTTACAAATCCCTTACTCAAAAATACAATTAGCTCAATATAATATTCAAATATTCACAATGTACATCTCTACAACATATTACAGCTCAATATAATATTCAAATATTCACAATGTACATCTCTACAACATATTACATGACTTGCACTCTCAATTCCTCATTATATCAAAATTATAAGATAATTTCATCTTCATACTGTATCCTCATCATATATCATAATTTCTCATGCACATCATACACTAGATCATAATAATTCGACAAGATTTCAATTCGCATAAACAGTAATGCATAGCATTAAAATTCATACTGTAAGATTAAAAAACAATCTCAATATACACACAAATTAACGTGCGGAAACCATGGTTCGAACCCCTTATGCCCTGGCCACAAAATGGCCTTCTAAGGATTTAATTTTGCCCCATTGTCTAAGGCACGGGTGATAATAATAACTCAAGGAGATCAATCCAATAGGAAGCAAATGATCACTTTCGTTTCACTTAATAGGGATCAAATCATGAGATAGACATGTATTAAAATAGTCCTTCAAAGTTTAAGAAATATATTATACAAAATAATTAAGTTATGGTGAAACTACACCATGTGGTCCATAAGGGACCACACGAACTTTTCAACATTCAAAAAGGAACTCAATGGACTATTTCACATGCTCAAATATGATCAAATAAACCTCTCATCAGTTCTATATTCTCAATAAAAATTTCAGAAAAATAAGATCAAGAAAATCAAGTTGAAACTACTCAATATCATGGAGCAAGCAAGCTAGTCTACACATACCATGTGTATGGACTACAATATTGCTTTCGCACTATTCAACTTTCAAGTTTTCAAGACCAAAAATGAAAAAAGCTACTATAAATTAAGAATTACAGCAAGCTTTGATAATCTCCATTGAAGGGTTTCAAATGAAAGCTCAAGAAAAAAGGGAGTCTCATGGGTGGCCACCTTTTTTGTCAAGGGTTTTTTCTCTCTCTTTAAAGTGAATACTCAAGTTAGGGTTATAATTGATCACATAAGTTACTTTTATACTTCAATCATAAAGATGTATTTGATCTTGATCCTTGATGCCTTAGATCAAAGGCATGTGAGAGGCTTTTATCCTAACCATTCATCCATATCTTATCACCAAGATCAATAAATGAGCTTTTGACACCCTTCAGTTATTAAAACCTAGGTTTATAGTCATTTTACCTTGAAGCCCTTAACTCCATGTTTTATCTCTCATTAAGTCCAAATTCATGTTTACATTTATACCCATGGTTTTTGAATAATTTGTGACAATCAATAAAATACAAAGACATTGACATTAAGATAATATGGGACATCCACACATGTAAATAAAATATCTTATGACACCACCAATAGGATTTTAATAACATTAAAGTTTCACATGGGTCAAGCCTATAAGTGGTGCCGTATAAGATATACCTACATGCTATAAAATAATATGTGGATAATAATATGAATTAAATTAATTTTCAAAATCCCATGACTTCACACATGCTAAAAATGACACATATGAGAAAAAAAAACATGTGACTCAAATCAAACTTAAGTCATAACAATATATAACACTGTAAACAACAAGATAACATATTATAACATAATACCGATAAAAGAATTAATGGCAAATAAGTCCCCACATGTATATGATGTAAGCATGATGTCATCCATGAGTGGGGAGGTGGGGGTGCCACGTAGCATCCCTATGGTCACTTGGGATCCATGTGGCATCATCATAGGATGTCTTTGTTTGGCATTTATGTCAAACAAATTTGAAAATTACATTTTTTATTGTTTAAAAATAAGATGAAATTTTTTTCAAAAATCCCAAAAATTCTCTAAATGATTTCTCTACATTATTACACAATTTCTTATCAATATAAAATATTTTCTCATCAATTTTAAATTAATTTGGGCTAAAGGTAAATGAGATCTCTAGACTTATAACACTAGTCGGAGTCTTCCATTGGGTTAACCCAAATGACGTTCCACCGTTGTCTGAAGCTGACCCAATGGCCCTATGCTCCACAGTCTATGGCAGGGACACATAATTGGTCACATCAAAGTCGCTGAGTCAGAGCTTCCCATCATCGGGGGCTTAAGGGATTACTGCTGTACCACTGTGGGACATGTTCCTATTCAAATACAGGGGTCCTCTCAAATCACATGTGCACTAGCTCTTCTAATTCAGATAATACTATAGAAGAGCAGCTTCTCCATACGATTGTGGGTGTACATGATATGGAACGATCTCGTGTCAGGATACGGGCTCATGTCTCATGAGCCGACCATTCCATACAGGGCGAATACTCTTTTAAATACTCGAATTCTATTATTTTCGATTGAATTCTCCAAGCTCTGACTTATCACATCACCGCATCACAAATCTTATGTATCTCCTATGTATTCTCAGGTTTCCTAATCACTTTTATAAAAACTTTTATGTGCATGTTCATGACAATTTATGCTCATAAAGATGGACGTATATGTTCACATCTATCTTCTTACTCTCTCAACATTTATTCATGTGTTCAGATGTTCACAACTCTATGTACATATTAATTCTCAAGTAACACAGATTTTTACTTGAACAAAAGTTCATTAAAATCATGCTTTAATATCATATATTGTACTCAAAGTCTCCTTAATCACAAATTGATACCTTATCCATTCAAAACCAAGGTGTGAGAGTAGAGCTTGGACTTTCAAGCATTTCACCATTCAATATATTCAATCTCTTATTGATATTACACTCGAATTAGATGACTAACAAGTGCCATCATGAACCTATTAATTAGAGCCAATCCCAAGATCAAGAGATGTTCAATTATATATGTCCGAGTGACTAAACACATTAAATAAGTTCAAATCAATTAGGATAATATCTCATGTAATGTGGGACTTATCAAAGTTTATTAGATTTCTCCTATATTTAATCTCACAAATTATCTCAAAAACCATGGGCATAAATGTAAACCTGAAATTCGACTTAATGGAAAAAATGACTTTGAGTTTGTAAAAGTTAAGATCTTGAAATTCACCAAATGCTAGATTCGTTATTAGAAGGGACTCATTTTGACCATATCTACAGTTCAAATTAAACTTTTATTTTTTTGGGATTGATTATCGAGATGAAATGAGCTTGTGTGCAAAATTTTGGGTCATACAAATACCACAAATATAGTTTTATAGAAGTGTGGTCAAATTTAATGGTGATCCTTTGTGGTCCTACACATATAGGTGTAGGAGAGTCTCATATGATCATTACTCAATATATATCCTTTGTGGTCCTACACATATAGGTGTAGGAGAGTCTCATATGATCATTACTCACTATATATATATATATATATATATATATATATATATACTACAAATTGCCTATATGTGAAAATAAATAGTGATTTCACCTACTCATCACTGTCAAAAATTCATCGCACAGGCACGATTGTTAAGTAGTATTTTATTTTTCATTTGTTTTCTACAAATCAGGATGACGTAAAATTTGGAGCATGTGTTCATAAAAAATAGATGAATCTATGAAAAATATTTTACATGAAAAAAATTGAACCAAATACCTTGGTTATTTTTGTAAAAATTTTATATTTTATCAAGTGCTTATCACTAAGATGTACACATGCTTCAAATTATATCTTTTCGATTTGTAGAAAAAAAAAAAAGAAAAACTGTTAGACAATTATGATCATTTCAGTTTGTAGAAAAAAAAGAAAAATAAAACACTACCAGACAATCGTGACCGTGCGATGAACTTTGGACGGTGATAAAGGTAGGCGAAATCACTGTTCATTTTCGCCTATAGGCTTTGAGAATTTATTTTTTATAAATTCCCAAAGCCTATAGGCGAAAATGAGGAAATAAATTCCCAAAACCTATAGGTAAAAATGATAAGTGACTTCGCCTACCCTCATCATCGTCCAAAATTCATCGCACAGTCACGATTGTCCGGTAGTGTTTCATTTTCCATTTTTTTATACAAATCGTAATGATTTGAAATTTGGAGAGTGTGTACATCTTAATAAGACACACCTAATAAAAATATGAAAACAATATTTCGTAAAATATAAATTGACCAAAATACCAACGTAAATTTTTAAGAGTATTTTGGTTAATTTATATTTTACAAAAAAAAATTTATATATTTTTATTAGATTCTTCTATTTTTTTATGAACACACGTTTCGAATTTCAGATAATTTCGATAAGTAGAAAAAAAAAAAAAAGATAAAACTCTATCGGACAACTATGACCATCCGATGAATTTTTAAAATTGATGAATATAAGTAAATAAAAGTTACGTAGCATTTTTTGATATATATATATATATATAATAATATTTAAATATATATATTTTTATTTTTACGTCGGGTGTGGTTCTCGGTCCGATAACTTGTCTAGGTCCACCACCTGGTCCCATAGTTTTTCGGGTCTAGAACCTAGAGGACCTTGCGAGCTACACGATAGAGAGTAAGTTGGAGCCTCGTTGAGTGAACAACCTGGGAGGCCTCCACCTAGAAAGAGAGAGTGTCACCAAAATATCTAAACGTAAAGTCAAAAATTGGGGCTAGGAGCTATGGAGAGGAGACTGACAGATTAGAGTAGACCAATCCCTTTAAAATCTTATCTCCCTTTAAAATCTTATCTTCCTCGTTTTGTGGAGTAACCTGCAAATCTCTTCCTCTCTTCTGTTCTCTTCTGTAACAAAATCAAATCTCCTTTCTTCTCTCTCTCCTGGCCGCTGGTGAAATGGCGGAAGCCTGGATCACCTTCCTCTCTCTCTTTTTCTGTGTTGCCCTAGCCTTCGTCTTTTTCAAATCAAAAACCAAGAAAACCCTACCTCCCGGCCCTCCATCCCTTCCCATTATCGGCAACCTCCTCCTCCTCCGTGGGTTAGGCATCGACCTCGAGCCCACCCTCAGTAAGCTTCACAAGAAATACGGACCCGTGTTGACCCTCCGCCTCGGCCGCCGCCCGTCCATCTTCGTCACCACGCGCGCCGTTGCCCACCGGGCCCTGGTCCAGCAGGGAGCCGCCTTCGCGGACAGGCCCCCTGCCGCTCCTGCCTCCGCCGTCTTTTCCAGCCGGCAGCACAACATTAGCTCCGCCCCTTATGGCCCCATCTGGCGCGTGCTCCGTCGCAACCTCATCTCTGAGACTCTCGCGCCTGCACGCGTCAAGGCCTTCACCCCAGCTCGCCAGTGGGCCGTCCAAACCCTCATAGACGCACTCCATGAGAGGGCTCTCGAGGGCCCTGTGTGTGTGATTGAGGCCATGCGTTTTGCTGTGTTCTCGCTGTTGTTGTCCATGTGCTTTGGCGAGAGGTTTGGCGACGAGGTGGTGAAGAAGGCAGAGACTGCACAGCGGAGGCTGCTACTCAACTTCTCGAAGTTCACCATTTTTGCCCTTTTCCCCAGAATAGGGAAATTCATCTTCAGGAAACGATGGCAGGAGGTGCACGACATTAAACACCAGCAAGAGGCAGCACTGTTGCCTTTAATTCATGCGGCCGCAGAGCGGCGGAGGAAAGGGCAGACGGGGTTCTTCTCGTATGCAGACTCGTTAGCGTTACTGGAGCTGCCAGACTGTCGGAAGCTGAGCGACGAGGAGATGGTAAGCCTGTGCTCCGAGTTCCTCAACGGCGGCAGTGACACCACAAGCACCACCCTGCAGTGGGTGATGGCCAACTTAGTGAAACACCCCCACGTGCAGGCCAAGCTTTACAAGGAAATTGAGCAGGAAGGTGGGGTTGATGAGGAGAAGCTGCAGAAGATGCCATACCTGAAGGCGGTGGTTACGGAGGCCCTCCGGCTGCACCCGCCTGGGCACTTCGTGCTGCCGCATACAGTCACAGAGGATTCTACATTAGATGGTTTCGTGATACCCAAAGGGGCAAGTGTGAATTTTATGGTGAGGGAGATGGGGGTGGACCCAGAGGCATGGGAGGAGCCATTGGAGTTCAGGCCTGAGAGGTTTCTGGGAGGCGGGGAGGTGGATTTAACAGGAAGCAAGGAGATAAGAATGATGCCATTTGGGGTTGGGAGGAGGATTTGTCCAGGAATGGGTTTAGCCATGATGCACCTCCAATATTTTGTGGGGCATCTGGTGAAGGAGTTTGAATGGAAGAGGGTTGAGGGAGAGGAGGTCGATTTGTCTGAGAAGGTAGAGTTCACAGTAGTCATGAAAAACCCACTCAGAGTACTTCTCATCCCAAGGGCATGTTCAGAAAACTGAACTGAAATATCATCTTTTTACTATCCTCAAATATTAAAATTTTAAATATATTGGGTAGTTATTTAATGTTTACCATCTCGAAAAATGATCCCTCTTACCTGTTGAGGACCTTGAGGATTGCCATTACAAAGGATTACCATTAAAGATGATATAGGTATCCAGACAAGTCAAATCGTACACCATGATCACTGTTTTTAGATATCTGTATTAACTTTAATAATATTTTTTTAGAATCCTACATACATGAATGGGAGAGGTCAGATAATTACTCCTCTTAATATATTAGATAGTTATTTATCTTAGCGAGAGAAAGTATGTAATGTATCTTGAGATATGTATTAATAATATTTCTTTAGAATCCTACGTACATGAATGGGAGCGGGTCAGATAATTACTCCACTAAATATATTGGATAGTTGTTTATCTTAGCGAGAGAAATGTATGTAATGTATCTTGAGATATGTATGAGGATGTTGTGTAGTCTATTTCTATCTTTAATTGTAAATTTTAAACTCTGAAGTTAGTTGAAATTAAGTAGATTTATAAATACATGGAAAATCTAGAAAATACATGAAAATTAATGGTCTGTTGCAAGATATACTTGAAATCTTTTCTTTCTCCATACTCATACATATCTGATGTCGAGATGGTCGATTACATATTTTTCAAACATTAAAACAACCTTTTTTCGATTGCTTTTTAAGGTGGAATTTAATTTTAAATTTTAAGGTGTCAAACTTACATAAACATTTTCCCTTCTATATTTTTGTTGAGAAATTGTTAGTATGAATATAGTGCATAGATGTACCATTTTCAAGTAATTGGCAGTCTTTTTCATTGCCCCTCGGGGTGGGAATCAGTCTTTTTCATTGCCCTCGCAAGGTCGCAATCGATTAATATCCACCACAATTCTCTGGGATAGTAACAAAATGCATGAGATAATATACTTCTAAATCTTTTTCAATTTCAAATTCCTTCGGTCTCTTATATCTCATTTTATGTTCAATGTCTACTTGCAAGCTCTACCGCCTTTGATATTCAAATTTCAATCTCCATTTTCAGTATTTTGTAATCAACTTAAGAATTTACAACGGAGAGGTATGTAAATTATGATTTCAAACTTCTCCCATAGCACCCTTAATTTCTTCATGGCAAGGGCACAGGATGGCACAAAATTCACAAATCTCTTGATGAATTTCATTCCCTTTCAACCTCTATCCAGGTGCATTTTTAGGACTCCAAATTTGAATGCAACCTCCTCCAGAGCAACTCTGAAAAGCTGAAGGGCATAAATTATTTATTGGAAATCCTAAAAGAACACTGATGCAAGTTTTCGAATATGTCGCTATTACCTCAAACAATTAAGTAATAACCAAACGTCCAAAGTAGGATCACCCAAAATGCATGAGACATCTGGTTGCTCGGGCAACCAACATTCGATAACTGAGTTCCCAAAATGCACGAGATGAAATGTATAAGACATCTGGTTGCTCGGGCAACCAACATTCGATAACTGAGTTCCCAAAATGCATGAGATGTGGTTGCACAGGTAAACAACATTCAATGAGTCGGTTCGAAGAGACAGAGGGAGCGTGTGCGCAGGGAAGCACCAAACATGACAGTAGTTAAATAGAGGGCTATCACTCTCTAGCCAACACCGAGCAACCTATGTCGGATCGTGATTCTTTTCTCGCTACTGAACATAATGCTGATAATCATTACATTTTCTTTTCACCATTATTTCAATGTGAATATCTGAGAAGAAATGAGAAACGAGATACGTATTGGCAACCTGATAGTAACAAAACGATAATTTCCAAGAACCTTGAAAAAGCACATACATCATGTTCTTCATTTTTTATAGAAGAAAAGGGTGTTCATTGTTTTCTTTTACTGTTTCTTTTCTTAGAGGGATAAGCAAAGAATCCAAAAGTAGTGTTAAAGCCCCACAAGTTCCTGCCAAGTAATTCCATATAGAGAACTTGAAGATACCAAAAGGTGAGCACAACAGAAAGTCTAAAGACCTCGAACTCCAAATATCAATCTTCTATTCATCCAAGAATATAAAAATTAAAGCTTATAATGCAACTATTGATGTGCGAACGTTGCTGTCCTACAAGTCACCGGAACATAGGAAAAGAGCTTGGGCTTCATTGGTTAAAACTGGATGATTTGCAACGCGACGTCGTAGGCTCAATGCTTACCAAGGGTAGGAGCCCTCTTCCCAATGACTCACCAGAACACCCTGAAATGTTTGTGGCTCCCCCACAACAAAATATGAGTAGCACAGTAAACAAATTGAAAAGGAGTACATGGCAAACTCTTAACTGTAAACTTTTTTTTGGGAATGCTCTATAGATGTAGAGTTGCCCCTTGGAAATGCAACTAAGGCAACTGCAGTGACCACCTTCAGCCCTGAATCGAACATGTTCCTCACATGCTTGGTGTCCAGTACTAAAACAGCAGATTCTTCAACAATCTATAATGGAAAAACATATAAAAAGGCCATTTACTTTTGAATATTGTAGAAATGTGGGCTTGGCAATAAATATATTTTTTAAATATAATTTGATCTTAATTTTTAAAGAATATATAATTTTTAGGGAAAATATATCCACACACCCTATTTTTAACTTCCATTTCTCCATTGATCTCAACTTGCAAAATCTATCTTACTACATAAAAATTCAATCTATTATATCTTCAAACCCCCTTATTTTTTGCTATTTTTTTTACCCAAACAAATTTTAAAAAGACATTGTTTTGTAAACCCTTATCTCTCTTGACATAATTCCCTTTCTCTCTCCCCCGATCAACCTCTCAAACCCCTTTCTCTCTCTCTATCTCCCCGCTCACCTACTCGTCGGTAAACTACACTACCCCTGTCACCTGCTAGTGGGAAAACTACAAGAGGCGATGATGGGCTCCAGGTTTCAGTAATGAAAAAGAAGAAACTTGTAAGCTAAATAGAGAATCCCAACTGAACCATAACACAAACCCCTTGAAATCTACTTCAAGAAAATCATCAATCGTCATTCTCCGGCGAAAGCTTCCGGCAAAATCATCTGGTAATAAATTTCAGCGCCCTGTTCAACCCAAGAAAAGAAAACATCTGATAAACCAGTGAATTTCCCCATCACTACCATAAACCAGCCTATTTTGCTCACTTTCCAACCAAAATCCAGCTATTCTCCTCCAAATTTCACTATAAAATCCGTAAAACTACAACATACCACAAATCCCTTATCCTAAGGCAAGCGAACTTCCTCTATTAATTTCTATCAATCTCATTCCAAGAGAAATGATCCTGAAGAAGTCTTCAATTTGAGTGCTTTGAATAGATGGCCGGAGAGAAAGAAGGGAGGAGATGGATGAAAGAGAGAGAGGCAGAGATGGATAGAGGGGTTTAGAATTGTATAACCATGGATTGCCGTTGTGCTTGACATAACCATGTTTTTCCCACGAATCTTCAGCCCATAAAGAATACCACTATGCGCCTAATATAACCATGGATCACCAGAAAACTACAAGAGGCGATGATGTTCGCTTGAACCAGGACCTGTTCTTTTCTGATGTGGGCTTTTCCTGAAAAGGGAGGAGGCAGAAGATGGTGACCCATTACGGGCCGAGAGTAAGAGCAAGAGAAAGTGGGTAAGAAGAAGAAGAAGAGAAAGAAACACGTGAGGGGAGAGATTGAAACAGGTGAGGAGAGAGAGAGTTAGATAAAAAGATATCTTTTTTAATTTGTTTGGGATAAAAATGGATAAAGTTATTTGAGGATTAGAAGATAGGTTTTGAAATTTTGGGTTTAGAAAGAAATGAAAGTTGAAAATGGGGTCTATGGAGATATTTTTCTTAATATTTAACATGGAGATCATGAATATAAAAAAATAAATAAATTTTGAAAACAATAAATAATAATTATATTAAGAAAACATTTGGTCTGTTAATTACAATTGTTTTAGATGGACTACCTATTTGCATCTATCTTTAAGATGGATGCTTTACACCTCTGGACCTCATATTGTAGAAATGTGGTCCAGCCAACATGAAACAATTGTTCATTTGTTTATATACCATTTTCTATCTTATCTATATCTATATTACAATATTGAGGGTGCGGTTTGTATAGAGCAGAGGTTCTAAACAATTAAAGTAAAGTGCACCTTCAAATAGTAAACAATTGTTCAGATGTTTATATACCATTTTCTATCTTATGTATATCTACACTATATTATTTAGGGTGCCGTTTGTATAGAGCAGAGGCTCTAAACAATCAAAGTAAAGCACACCTTCAAATAGTATCGAGAAATATGGTTTCAATATTGGAAATCTTTGTGATAGCCTTAAAGTATATTTTCATTTTTAATTATAAAATTTAAAACTTCAAAAATAGTGTAGATCGAGTAGATCTATGAAAACCTGAAAATTGACGGTCCAAAAATGCGTTACAAGATGCACTATTTCCAAAACTTGAAATCCATTTTTTTCTCATGTCTATGCATCTTGATGTCAAGATTATCAATTTGAAAATATTTGGGCATCAAAAGAACCTCTTCTTGTGAAATTTTTGAGGTGGGCTCTAATTTGATTATTTAGAGTCCCGGCTCTGTATAAACTTTTTCCTATTATTTAACCACAAATAATGGGTGGACACATATCACAAGAACAAAAGAGGACCCTATATAAAGAGAAGGGTAGGACGTGTGCTAGAAATAAATGGATTTTAAGGTAGGCTCTTTCTAACTAGATAAATCAAAATCATTTTTTAAGACTTAGATGACATAGAAGATAAAGAGTGTCAAGTATTCCTCTTAAAATTAAGAGTAGAGTTTAGGTTTCAATTTTAGAAACTATCCATATCTTATAAAGAGATTTGGATGAATATGTTCATATTAAATCTAATGCATCGTTTAGAAACAACTGTGTTTCTCGTAAATGAAGTTCTTTTTTTTAATCTAACTAAATTAGAGTTGACAAATCCAAAAAAAATAGGGAGGCTGCATAAAACAAAAATTTGGGGAGAGAGGATGAGGGTTTGAGAGGGAGGAGAAAAGGAAGGCGTGAGAGAGAGGGGGTATAGGAGGAGATGAATATAAAGAAATACTCTTTTTGGTCCAAAAAAAAAAAAAAGAATAAGAAAAAGAAGAAGAAGAAGAAATACTCTACGCATCCAGTACTATGTCAAACCGTTTCAAAATCAGTTCTACCAAATTAATTTCAATGGTTATTGGATGAATATGAAGCGTTTTAGTAGCTTCATAAACTTTAATAAGGCCTTGGTTTGGGAGCAATATAAGCCAAGGGGTGTAAGTAATAGTGGTAGACTCAAATGTGCTCAGAGCCCTTTTCATCCAAAATGTAGTACGCTGTTTATTAGTGGAATGTCATGGATTTGGTGAAAATAGCGATTGAAAACCCCTGTACTTTCTCCACAAAGGAACCAAACAAAGTTTGAGCAAAGAGCAAGAAAATTTTGACTT